AAAAAAAAAAAAAACTCGTATTTGACTTGAGGCTTGGCAAATGAGAACGAGTAGATTTCTTTTTTTTGGAGTCCAAAGTTGGTGATAAATTGGTTCGAACTCGTTCCCCCGTCTCCATGGAAACGCCAGTCTGTTCTCCAGGCGCAGGAGGAACCCGGGGCCGCGCCTGTGATGAGCACTCGTGATCCTGCCAGCACCAGGCCCAGGACCGGAAATCCCGCTCAGCTGCGCCTTGCCTAGCGCAGGCCTCAGAGTCTCCGGCAGACAGCGTGAAGAAGCTTCTACCTCCGGCCAGCCGAGGCCCTCGAGGCCCTCGGAGGAAATGAAGCAGGACGAACGCACAGTGGACGGGGCTTGGTCGCCGCGTGTCCCCGCTGGGCTTCTCCAGGGCAGAGGCGCAGCCAGGGGAGGGGTCCCGTGCTTTTCCTGGAACAGAGACTGCGGTAAGAATGAGGTGGTAGAGAGAGGGCCAGGGTAGCACCACAAAGGAAACAAGTTAAGATCCCGCCCCACATCTGGGTACTTGCCTTTTTTGTGTTGTTCCGGAAGATCTTACCTTGCCCCAGGAGCTCCAGTGTTAGGGGATCTCGTACCCCCCAGCGGGGAAGCCTGCAGCCTTCTGTGAAAAGTTCCCTATTCCTGAAGCCAGCTGAAGTCGGCCCCGTGACCGTGACGGCGGGGGCCTGGAGTCGGGCCCCCACCAATCCATGCATAGCTTGGCTGGTCCCCAATACAGAACCTGGAACCAGTCAAGAAAGGCCACCTTCAATCCTCATGAGAAATCAAGCAGGTTTTTGATAGGCCAGGTAATTCTGACATCAGATGGGGGTATAAAAGTAGCCATCAACTGCTCTCTCCCTGTGGGGTGTACTCCTTCTCTTACCTTTAGTAAATATAAAATCTCACTAAAAAAAAAATCCCCCCAAAACAAATTTAGGTAAGTGTTGCCAGGCATGGTGGAGAACACCTGTGATCCCAGCACTTGGGAGGCTGAGGCAGGAGGAGGGCAAGCTTGAGCCCAGCCTGGACAACTTAGCAACATCGCAAGACCCTGCCTCAAAACAAAAAATAAGAGCCGAGCATGTAGCTCAGTTGCACAGGCCCTGCCTGACCCTCCTCCGGCCCCTGGTACACAGAGCCACTTCCACGCGTCAATTTCTTCCTACATCCTGGAGCAGACTCGCTCTCAGATGCGCCCCGAGCATGTGCGCCTGCGCGCCAGGCTGTCCTCCAGGGCAGGCGCAGAGCAGGGGCCGGACATGGAGGTGGGGTGGACAGAGGTGCGCAAAGGAAGTGAGGAGTGCAGGCAGCGACCAGGGCCGGGCTTCACTGGGTGGGGCTGTGCCAAGCGAGTACAAACCTCACGCCCAGGTGCGGAGAGCCGGCCTGGACAGGAGCTGTGTCGGGCAGGAGACGGAGCGTTGGAAAGGGTGGGAAACGGGCCTCAGTCAGCGGACCGCAGGCCCGGGGCGAGCCGGGGAGAGGCCATGGTGATGTCCTTGCAGGGCTCGGGCTTGACCCAGCGACCGCGTGGCCAAGGCTGGGGGGCAGGCGGGCA